CTTCTGCCCAGCTACAGCTGTAAGCTGCAGTGGGGGGAAATGTATGCAATGGATACTCCCTTAGGCTGTTGAACTTCTGAGGTCCGCTGTACAGCCTTGCCTGGCAGGAAGCTCTAGTCTTCTCCAGACTGATGGTTCAGAGTGCATCTGGTGAAAGTGCCAGCAGATAGGATTAATCTGTGTACTCACAATCTTCTGTTGTCCCAGCTGACAGTGTCACAGGGTAATTCTTCTATCATAAAAGAAATAATGAACACTACTCACTGCCTGACATACTGCAGTATTTGCTCACAGTAATAAAAAGGAGGAAGGTGGCCAAAGATGTATTCTGAATCCTGAACATCTGGCAAAATTGCTGGGAAGGGGTGATAGCTGATCCCTTCACCAGTTACAGAGTGAGATTTCAGGTGTTGAGTTTTGAATCCACAGCATATCCAAGGGCAAGCCTCTGGTGATCATCTTGCATGTGTGGTGTTGCTTTTGGGTTTCAGTTTTGGTTTGGTTTGTTGGGATTTTTGGGTTCATTTTGTTTTTTGTTTGGTGGGCTTTTTTTTTTTTTTTGGGTGGGGTTTTTTTTTGCTTTTTTTTCATACAAAGGAGAACAAATTGCTCCTTCTCCCTCATACTTGTCTGGAGACCTCAGAGTAGTGAGAGGAACAGAACAGAGGTTGTTATCCTCTCTGTAAAAGCCATCTAGATGCAGGGACTGAGCTTGCCCTCCACTTTTTGCCTTGCACCATTGTGCAGCAGGAGGTTAGATGGTGGGCTCTGGTTTGGGCTGCACAAGCAAGGCAGTGCTCTTCTCTCAGGGCACTGCAGTACTTGTGGGACCCTAGAGTCTGCTGGTCCACCAAAGCCCTGGGAGGAGCAGCAGCGCAGGAGTTAAAATATCAGTATGGGTGAAGAACGTGAGAAGGCTGAGAACAGCCATGAAATCCAGGAAAGACAACAGATAACAGCAAGGAAACAGCAGGTGCTGGGTGGGGTGGTGACGACACCAAGGCCACGCCACTGATAAGGCCACCAGGCAGATGTGGAGCAAGAGCAATGTGAGGCAATCTGGTCTGGCCAGCTGCCATCTGTGGTCACTCAGATGAAAAGCCTGCAAACAACTGCAGTCCCCTAGGAGGGGAAAGGTGTAATAAGGGCTTATGATGTGATGAGCAATCCCGGATGAGTACATGGATGTGGGTGCCACTGGTGTGGCACAAGCACAAAGGCAGGGGCAGTGCTGCAAGGGAGCAGGCCTAAGATTTGTTTTAGCATCAGAAGTCTCCTTGCTTGCTACCACTATCTACAACAGAGTTTATGTGACTTGCTGGTGATGACAATAGATCTCCAGCTCCTCAGACAAACCCAGAGCCTTCACATCTCCTCATCCTATGTCTTGAAGCCTTCCACATCACCATCTTGCTGGTGTTGGAACAGGGAGAAAATGCAGAGCCAGCTGGAGCTCCACAGCCAGTGTGAGGGAAGCAGCCACCAGAAAATCTCCTGCCTCACCTGAGGAAGAATTTCCTTACCTCTTCTTCAAGGGGTACAGTAGATAGGGACTTTCATTAGGAGTTGCAAGTCTGTGCATGGCAGAAAAGCTTGAAAAGACAAAAACAGTTTGCAAGAGGTCACTTACCCTTTGTCATCTCTTAGCATATCATTTTAGCCCGCTTCTCGAAGGCACTGGAAATTGAATACCACTAAGGAATGAGGTGGAGGAAGATCAAGCCTTGTATCAGCCAACAGCTTTGATACAGCACCACTGACCTTGCTGCCTCCAGCTCAGAAGGGAAGCAGACATTTCTTGCCAACCTCTATCCAAGGAGAGTGATCTGGAGTACACAATGTGTCCCAGCAGCACAGCCCCAGCCTGCTGCTCCCGCGCTGCTGCTGGCATGACCAGAGAAACAGGCCATGCTTGGAATCAGAGGCAGCAGAGGTGGCACCGGAGGCATTACAATCAGCATTTGGATGTTTTCCTTGTTAGTAAAAACTTTGGAGAAGACTTTAAAGGTCCAAGATAGCCCTCATCTGGAGCTGTGAAATCTGTTGGTGTGTGAGCAGTTTGCAGGAGGGGGCTCTGTGTTGCTCATATTATTGAGTGTTGGCTAGGACCAAGTTTGCCAGATGTGAATCCAAGGTCATACACCCATGTGTGCTGGAGACTAACAGCTGCTTGTCCCATGGACCCAACTTGCTGGAGGCAGGGTCCTACAGGGCTCACCCAACAAACCTTGTGCAGTGAGGCTTGGTCAGGTACATGTTCCGCTGATTTGGAGAAGTCTCACCTCTCTGCTGGCTTGGGTTGTTCACCCTTTGGGATAAGGCTTCTTTCCTGACTCCTGACCTGCTAATCTCAAGGCTCTAGTTTATGAAAATTGCTTTTAATATTCTGTCAGCTGGCACCACTAAAAAGAGATTGGCTCCATCAGCTTCCCTTCCAGCAGCTGTAGGCTGCTATCAGATCCCCCTTGGCCTCCCTTCACTAGACTAAACATGCCTAACAAGACCCCATGTGCCTTGGGAGCAACTCCTAATGGGGTTAAATATTTACTTTAGTTGAGGGATTTCCAAAGTGGAATAATAATGAAAGCCAAAGGTTTTTGAACTGTGTAAACTCCGTGAAGAGGGAATTTAAAACGTGTACAGCTGCCTTGGCAGAGCAGAGGAATGACTCTGTCAAGGGAGCCCTGAGCTGGTTATGTTGCCACTTCCCAAGTCCTGGTCACAGCCCTGCTGAGTTGCATGAATGGACCTCCAACAGAAGGGTGCAAGCAGCTTCTGGCAGGACCCATACCTCTCTGGCCACAGGGGATGCTCAGGCTGTCCTCTTTTGACTCAAACAGAGAGGCCCAGTGTGTTTCTTCCTCTAGGGAAAAAACATCCCAAGCACTAAATCCAAGTCAGATCCTCAGTGACTGCAAATACTCCATGTATCTGGAGCTCTGTAGAAAATAAAGCTTCTGAGAAAGAGCAGATAAGAATGTTCACTCTGACATAAAGTGTCCAGTCTTGCAGGCAAAGCAGCTGGGATATTCTGGGGTCATGATTATTTTTGAAAAGATGGTGTTTCTTGCCACTGAGGGTCATCTCCGGCCGCTCTGTCCTCTCCTTGCTCTGTGTGCCACCTCTGTGTATTTAATCTGGGTATCCAGATTATCTGGTTGCCCCCTTCCAACACACTGGATTTTATGATAATTTTGCTGTGGCAATCTCAGATGCAGCCAAGAGAAAGGAGTGGAGTAAGAGCAAGTGAGTGGAGTAAGGTATTAGACCACCTCTGACTGTGTGGCTTGTCTGAGCTTAGGCACTGACTGCACCTGCAGCTCCTTGCCCCCAGGCAGCTGAATTTTGTACCCTCTAGACCCTCTGCACCCCCAGCCTGTCCCATCCCATCCCACCCAGTGACTGTATGGGCTTGCTGCAGCACGGTGACAGGCCTCCCATTGTGTTTGGGATCCTGACCAGTGCATCAGGCAAATGAGTATCCACCTGGCTGGGTCTCATGGGATAACACCACAGTGCCACCACACAAATCAGCCTGAATTTCCTGGCTATGTCTAGTCTCACAACTCAAGTACAGATACCTGTCATGCATGAAGAATAGCAGCTGCAAGGCTGAAGGGATAGTTTGGGTGAGATTCAATCATAAGTAGCTAGCTGGGGTAAGCAGAGAAGAGCAGCATTGCCCAGCCTTGATGTGTTAGTTTTGTATGGCCTGGTTTTTGATAGTGGGGGACCACAGAGGTGGCTTCTGTGAGAAGTGGCTGGAAACTTCTATCATATCCAGCAGAGCCAATCCCTGATGGCTCTGAAGATGGCTGTGCTGCTGGCCAAGGCTGGGCCAATTGGAGAGGTTGGTAATGCCTCTGTGATAACAGATTTAAGAAGAAAATCAAGACAAAGTTGGGTGCGCAGTGTTAATTCCAGTCAGAGAAGAGGTGAGGGTGAGAATGTGTGAGGGAAAGAACATGGAGACACCAAGGTCAGTGGGGAAGGAGGGGCAGGAGCTGCTCCAGGCACTGGAGCTGCAATTCCCCTGCAGCCTGTGGGGCAGCCCATGGTGAAGCAGCTGTGCCCCTGCAGCCCCTGGGGATTCACAGGGATGCAGAGATCCACCTGCAGCCCATGGAGGTGCCCATGCTGGAGCAGGTGGATGCTTGGAGGAAGCTGTGATCCAGTGGGAGACCTGATGGAGAGAGGGGCCCTGCCCCCAGGCTGGAGCAGCCTGTCCTTGGAGGATTGCAGCCCGTGGGAAGAGAGCCACACTGCAGCAGTTTTGAGAGGACTGCCTGTGGGAGAAATTCACATTGCAACAGCTTTGGGATTACTGCTGCTCCTGAGATTTAGGCGCAGCTGGAATAGTTCACAGAGGACTGTCTCCCATGGGAGGGACCCCATGGGCTCACAGGGGAACAACTTTTTCCTTGTGCAGCAGAAAAAGACCTTGGGTGATGAACTGACTAAAACCCCCTGCCCTGTCTCCCATGCTGTCAGTGGGAAGGAGGGAAGTGTTGTGGAGAAAGAAAGGTGTTTTTTAATCACTTATTTTACTTCTCATTATCCACATCTGATTTTGTTAGTAATAAATTCATTTTGTACTTCTAAGCCGAGCCTCTTTTGCCCTTGGAGTGTTTTCTGCCAGTCCTTATTTTAACTCATTATGCCTTCATGTAATTTTTCTCTCCTCTGCCCAGCTGCAGTAGGGGAGGGTGAGTGAGTGATTTCCGTGGCTGCCTGGTGTTCGGCCAGTATCAAACCACAACATCTGACTGCAGTTCAAAGGGATTGTAAAGCAGCTTCCGATGCTGCCACCTGAAGCTGATAAGTGGGAAGCTTCAGGGAAAAGCTTATCTTATATGTGAGAATGCCTAAGTGATCCCTTAGGGTGTACAGTCCAGCTGCTCCCAGCAGGAACAAAACACTGCTTTTCCCAGTGTTCCTGAGATAAGACTGTGCCTCTGCCCTATAAAGGCAGCCACGAGCAGAGCAAGGTGCATGAGCAGTTCTGCCTGAGCTGACCATGCCTGGGAGAGAGCTGCTGCTGCTGGCGGCAATGGTGACTCTGGTTGCTGCCAGAGGTAAATCTGCTCTGCTGCTGGAGGCTAGTTCAGCAGCAGTGGATTGGGAATGGCAGACGGATAATGGGATGGAGGGGAATGCATGACAGGACATAAAGACCCAGAAATTCTGGTTTGGAGAGGAGGTGAGGTTAGGGCAAACAAACAGTGGCAGCATGGTGAGGAAGGATTGGAGCAAGCACACTGTGCCTTTCTTATTAGCAGTTTGTGGCAAGGGTTACAGGCTGGTTCATCAAGTGTATTGCACTTAGGAGCCATCTAGGAGAGGGGAGAGTCTACAGCTGCTGCATTTTCTGCCTCCATGCAAACTGGCAAGTCTTTGCAAGAATAGTGTGCTCAGCATATTTATGAGGGAATCACCTGTTTATAGGCCCTGGGAAGCCACTGCTACCTACGTGCAGGTAGTGGTGGTCCTGCAGCTGCCTGTGTGTGTGTGAGCCTCCATGCTCCCATAACATTTGTGCACTGCACAGGTGAGCTTGCCTGAGAAAGAGGGACCCACCAGATGCTGCTCTCCCTAGAGCAGTTGTCCAGCTGTGCAATATGACCAAGCCTCATCCCTCTGAGGATACTCCATGCCACATGCTGCATTTCCCATTTCCCAAGATGTTTTCGATGCTCTGTGGAGCTTCTGACCCAGAAACTCAGAGAGGGGGCTGTTAGGAGAGGGTTTAGGGAGTGGGGAACAACCATTCACAGGTTTCTCCCATCCAGCTCAGCTGTGGATGGAAGCTGTGGACTGTGCTGCTGTCAGGGAGGGATGGGAGTGGCATGCAGCAACAAGCTGATCTGCCTTATGAAACCCAGAGCTGATTGGATCTTGAGTGGGCTCTGCACAACACTGCCTTCCCTTTGGTTTGGATGTGATCCTCTGTCAATATCTCATGCTTCTGCCATCAGGCATGGGTGTGCCATGCTCATGGGTTTCTGCTTTGTTTCAGGGGCAGAGCTGAATGAAGGGGGTGGCGTGAGAAAGGTAAGAGTCTTCTGGTTTTCTTTGTTCGTGGCTGGGCATGCCTGCTGTGCCTGGGAGAAAGACTGTTCCCAGAAATCATCCCCAGCCTCATGGCAACAGGTGCTCTGGCACCAAACCCACACCAAAGCCCAAGCCATGAGTCCCACTGAGAGATTCAGTGGCCCCTGCTCCTTTGTGGGCACTCACTGCTCCAAGACAGAGGGAACCAGGTTTCCAGTGTCACTTGCTCCTGCATGAGTGTTTGGGGGGGGGGGGGGGGGCAAGAAATGGGTGCTGCTGGCACTGAAATGCATGCTGTGGTTTCTCCTTTCCAGCCAGTGTGTGAAGACCTGGTTTACCTGCAGGCCTGCCCCCTCCTGTACTTGCCCATCTGTGGGACCGATGGGAATACCTATGCCAATGAATGCCAACTCTGTGTGGAAAAAATGTAAGCTCATGCCCTTGGCAGGGACCTCCTGGGTCTAATTTTGGCTGTCTGAATCTGGGTGCTTGTGAAGTGCAGTCATTCAGGCTCCCTAGAGCTTGGGAAAAGCCATGGCAGGCTGCACATGCATGGCAAGTAACACAAATCGTGTGCTGGGCTCCAGGCGGGAAAGGATGGCCAGCTCGTCAAGCAAAGCTGTAAGGAAGTGCAGAGGAGCTGTACCCAGCCAGGCTGAGGAAGGGGATGCCTGGGAGTATCCAGCAGCAACCTACAGCTGCAAATGGGATGGAGCCTCGGTCATCTTGGTACAGGCAATACAACATGGGGCAACAGCCACAGACAGCAGCCACAAGAGGGTGAAAATTTGACACAGGCACCACAGAGGCATGAGGGTGGGGGTCCATTCTTGGGGATGGTGGTTGGGGCTCAGATAGAGCCATGGCTACCATAACTTAATGCTGGGGCAGCCCTTCTGTGAGCAGGTTGAGCTGCATATGCACCACTAGTACCACAGGCCCTGGGAGGGCACATCCATGAGCCAGGATGTTGCAGTGACCTCAGCTCTTTAGACAGAAAAATGAGCAGGTCAATTTTGTAATAGCTCCATTCCATTTGATGGAATGCAGCCAAAGTATGACTCACGGAACTGGTTTTTTTTTGTTTTGTTTTTTGTTTGTTTGTTTGTTTTTTTTTTTGATCTCTTACTCTTTCTTCCTATATTACTCTAGGAAAACCAGGCAAGACATCCAAATTTTGAAAGATGGGGAGTGTCAAGATACCTGAGCTTTCTGATAGCTTATCTGAACCTAAAACCAGGTGATTAATTGATCCTGTGTGCTCTGTGCCGATTGCATACTTAAGCTAGCTATGGTGAATAATAAAATTACATGCACAATCTTATTTCAACAGAAGTTTTTTTATATATGGCTGGAGGAAAACAGCATAAGCCAGTTCCCACCAAGGGCTACTAAAAATGCACAGTCAAAACAATAATTTCAAATCCACATAACGAACTGGGTGCTTTGCATAGAGTATTATCTCATCCACACTCCTGCAAGAAAGGTCATGGGGGAGTAGCAAGAAACACACTCATCCTGATGAAGAAGATGCTGAACAAGCACAATTTTTTCTCTGTAGGAGGCAATTTAGTGAAGGGAAAATAAATTTTCTCTGACATAGGAGAAGATGACTCCCTGGCTCCCTAGTAAATCGCTTCACTGGTTCCAGAGCTGATGTAAATTGAAAATAGTAACATCTGCACTTCCCATATTAGATGTTATTTTGCTTTTTATCTAAGGCTCTTTCATAGAACAATCAGCTCAGATAACACATGGGAGCACGGAAAGAGCCTAAGCAAAGATGGTGAACATCAGAGATCCCAGATATCTGCCCCAGCACTTGAGAAAAACCCCAAAGTGAAGAATTTCCAGGTGTAGGTTGCTCCTGGCGTCAGGGCCATCTTTGAGATTGTCCTGCCAAGGTAATAGTGTCAGTGTGTATCAGCAGGCCTCAGGGATTCCTCTTCTCTTTCATGTCCTGCTTCTAGCAGAAGGACACACAAAACACCACAACAAGGCAATACAACTTGGGCAAGCAAGGGGCCCCCTTTGCACACAGTGGCAGAGATCAGAGAGCTGATGCAGTCCCTCACCAGATGTTGTATTTGTACAGAATTACCAGCTGAGATTTCGGATCAGCTTTGAAGAGTGCTTCAGGGTGAGTTGAAACCTTCCAAGGACAGGTCTGTGCTCACCCACAGGAGATCATGTTCCTCTGACTTGCTGCTATACCATTAAAGTATAGTATCCCATACAGCTCTCATTTTCAGGCATCTGATAGGAGTCTGGGGTCTACCATGTGGTCAAGTGAGCTTCCCAAAGTCAGTGGCCATCCTCAGAGTCTGGGAGATGTACCAGTGTAGCAGGATTTCTGAGAGAGAGAGGACACGATTTATATTTAGAGTGAAGATTGAGCTACCTCCAGCCTAGGCCTCAGATATGGGCCTTGGCGAGGCCTTTGGAGCCTCTGATGCAGTAAGAAATTAGTTGTGGTGCAGTTAGAAATTATGTTAAGGTGAGCATAGGGCTGCAGTGTGAAACTTTAGCCACCTTAAGACAAAGACAAACAGTGTTTGCTGGCCAATGAGAGTGTGCTCACAATTGTAAACTATATTGAAGTGTATATAAACTGCCATCTTACAAACAATAAACAGAGAACGTAGCATTAACCATATTGGCTTGATCTGCGTTTGTCCTGTCCAGCACTCCCTATTTTATAAGAAGTCCCTTGCTTCTTACCAGTGTCTGCAATGACTACTGTGCTGGGTTAGCTGGAGTTCGCTCTGTCACCCAGTTCTGCACCTTGCTGGAGCCACCAGGTGGGACACCCATAGCACCACAGTGCACAACAAAGCCATTGCTGACAGACTGAATGCTGCAACTGGAAATAGTATTGAGGAGCATAAAACATCTGTGTTCTGTCAGATGGATTGTATCCACTATTTTCTGTCTCAGTGGGAGCTACTGTCATAAAAAACTTTATTCTCCTTAGAAAGTTCTCTCCCAGGCTGAGAAGTCCTAGTATGACTAATTGCTCAGGGTTGTCTAGAGCTTTGATTTTCCCTGTTTTCCTTTCCTGGACCCTTTCTATTTCTGCAGAGGAAGCACCTGTCCATGGCTGCTGCTATTACCTATTATTTGTCTCAAGGCTCTGCAAGGCTGTTTGTTCCCTTCCAGTCCCTAAATAGCATGGAAGAGGTGGTCTGGCTGTGTGGTACTCTCTGTGTTGCTAACTCTTCTCTGCAGACCTTTTTGTCTCCCCTGTGCCACAGTGAAAGGCTTTGGTAGGGCCAAAACACATCCACGGTGAGCAACACAAACGTATTGCTCACTTCTGTCCTGAGGTTTTCTGCTCCTGCTGCTGCCAACTCAGCCACAGGCGGGATTTATTTGGGCAGCTCTATCCCAGTTTTCTGCCAGGGCTGAGGGGAAGGTTATGCCCAGCTTAGCATAACTGGGTGTTGTTGTCCCTTGGAGTGGACAAGTGTCACCAGGATCTCAGCCCCATGTCATGGCTTGAGCTGTACAGGCAGAGTGGCTGCAGCCCAAGAGAGTGTGTGTGCTGTGTATGCCCTGAGGGCCACAACTGTTTATGTGCAGAGGCTAGGAAAAACAGCACAGACCATCCAGAAAGCTCTTCTGAAGAGGGAAACCACATACCTCCAGCACAAAGTGGAGCGTTTATTTAGAAACTGCAGAACTAAAGCACAGACTAATAGGCCAGAACTGCAAGGTCAGAGCATGGGCAGCCACAGGACAGGGTGAGTGTTGACTCTACACACAGCAAATTCAGAGATACTCGTCCTTCCCAGGGACTTGTGGATTTGGATGTTTATTTCACATGGCTCAAAAGCAAGTGGCAGACCAAGAGAAGGCTGAAGGCAGTGATTGAAGAGTACCACAGACCTCAGGGCCTGTGCAAGACCAGCCTGCTGCAGAGAGCCTGACTCTGCAGCCCAACAGATCTGTGTCTGCCAAGGTCAGGTGAGACTCAGGAAACAGCTGGTGGACAGCAAGATGCCTGCAATGCCCTGACCTGTGCCAGAGAGTATGCATATGAATTTGCACTTTTGCATTCTCTTTTCCTGTTCAATTTATCTGCCTGTTTCTCATCTTTTCATGCTTCAGTCAAGGCAGGGAAAGAAAGGGACTATCTGCTTTCACAGGTACCATAGTTTGTCACACAGAGCTATGAGTAGTCCTGCTCTCAGAGCAGTGTGTTGCAACCAGACAAGTTTCCTCAAGTCAGAGAGTGAAGGACAAACCTGCAAAGTTGCTTCTGTCATTGTCCTGTGAGACAAAACTGGAAAAAATGCCTGACAGCCTGCAAGAGTGGCAGCAGCATAGCTCCCCCAGCTGCCCGTGTTGACCAGGGCTGCCCATGACTGCAGGGAGGGATATGTAGGTCTCTGGATAGTGCTTTGCAGTAGCCTTGCCAGATAGGGGGAACAGATACCCTTGAGGCTCATGAAGACCTTTGACTTAAACATAGATCCAAAGCCTGGTGGTGCGTCTACAGTAAAAGCAGTCCAGCCAATGGCTGGATCCTGTCCTAGGAGTGTTTGTCCCTTGGACAAAACTTTCCTAGGATATTTGTGTGTTGAAGGCTGTGTGGGGGCATGGTGAAATGTACCCAAGGTTGGTGATGTTCCCCTACTGAGCAGCTCCAATGACATTTGAGGAGTCTGTGACACTGGAGATGCTCAGGTTGCTGAACTCTCAGTTGACATCTTCCAGGGCCTCAGGAACTGAGGAAACTGGACACATCAGTGAAAATGGCCCAGGGCTAGCTGAACTGAAATGTGGAAAGAAAGGGGAGGGAAGCAGCACTTGGCACATTGTAAAGTGTCCAGCTACAACAGTTCACGTAGCCAAGACTGGCCATAAAATTTAACCCACTTGCACAAATTTCTCTGCAGCAAAGTGGGTGCAGCTGTGACCACATCTCAGTCCCTCTACTTCAGTGCATAAACAACCTGAAAGTAGGTGGTGTGGCCTGTAATTTCCACATCGCTAACCATTACTGAAGTTTTCTGTGGGATACTGAAATTGCTTCCTTGGCATTTAAAGCAATTTACATTCAAGGGACAAGCGTCTTCAGAGATTTCCTTCCTGAGAGATGCAAGTGCAAGCTCTGTAAGATTTTGAAGTCCATCTATTCCGTTAAACACCTCTGAACAACCTGGGGGCACAGTGACTCTCTTTCACAAATGCTCCCTTCATGGTCAAAGACAGACAAAATGGAGAAACATTCACAGTACCATCTCTTCAGTGTCTTACGGCAAAGTTTTGCTGAGTCAAGAGTCGCTTATCAGCCCTCACCAGGCTTTGGGGTGACTATGCAGATGGTTGGCATGAGAAGCTGATTTAGCCACAGCCTGGGCATGCACCCAGTTCCTGTGGAGCACTGAAACACACAAGGATTTCCACCCTTCCTTCCATGCTTCATACCACCTGCAATCATCCCAGAATGTAGAATCATTTAGGTTGAAAAACACCTTTAAGACCATGGAATTCAACCATTAACAGCCATGTCCTGCAGGAAACCATGTCCCTAAGCACCATGCCTAGACATCTTTTAAATACCTCCAGGAACAGTGACTCCACCACTGTCCTGGACATCCTGACATCCAACCTAAACCTACCCCAGAGCAATCTAAGGCCATTGCCTCTTGCCCTATTACTTGTTACCTAGGAGAAGAGATGGACCTCTACCAGCCTACAATCTACTATCAGGAGGCTGTACAGAGCAATAAGGTGTCCCCTCAGGTTCCTTTTATTCGAGCTCAACACCCTCAGCTCCCTCAGGCACTCCTCAGAGGACTTGTTTTCTAGACTCTTTGGCAGCTTCTTTTCTTTTCTTTGAACACGCTCCAAGCACTTCAGTTTCTTCACCTGGGACTGGGCAACCCTGCAGGTGTGTACAGACTGGGGAATGAGAGGCTAGAGAGCAGCTCCACAGAAAAGCACCCAGTCAGTGGCAAGCTGAACATGACCCAGCAGTGCCCTGGCATCCAGAAGGGCCACCCATGTCCTGGGGTGCATCAGGCACAGCATCACAGCCAGGCAAGGGAGGGAATTGTCCTGCTCTGCTCTGCACTGGGGCTGCCTCACCTTAGTGCTGGGGGCAGTTCTGGGTATAGGAAAGACATTGAGGTCTTAGAAAATTTCAAAGAGGGGCAACAAAAATGGTGAAGGGCCTTGAAGGGAAGCCATATGAAGAGCAGTTGAAGTTACTTAGTCTGTTCAGCCTGGAGGAGACTGAGGGGAGACCTTACTGCAGTTACAACTCCCTTGTGAGGGGAAGAGGAGGGGCAGACACTGATCTCTTCA